CAAGGTTAGTTGGAGAGGAATTGTTTCTCCCAAGATTTGCAGCTAATTTTCAATCCTTTGCAGTGCCCCAGTGCCAAAACAACAGCAAATTATTGCCTTTCCTTTAAAAAGCTTTTGTATCTATAATAGTTTAATGATACGGGTATCAACGCATTGGAAAAAAAAATGCAATCATGTACAAGTTTCACCAGTGCTGTGCACAAGTGTAGCTTTCTGTACTGTGCATGTTAAATGTCAAAATTGCTGTTTTATGTTTTATGCCCCACTTTAATCTGTTTCAAATGTCATGGCTCACTGGGGTAGTTTGCAGGAAGTCGGACCCCACCATTCCCAAAGTCATGAGAGAATTTGAAGATTTAAAAAATTACGCCTAGGTTCTCCAATTTACTGGCCTTCTAGATCGAGCTTGACAGAAAGCATGGACCAGGTTTCTGTACATAATAGGACTACAAATTATGACAAGTAAATGGACTCTAGCTGTTATAATTATGAACCAACGGCATATCATTGCTGATTTAGAATTCTAAGCTCCCTCTATGTACACATACTGACAGACCCAGAAAAACCTGTTGTGGAGGGAGGAAAATTGGAAAAGCAGTCAGTGGTTGCTGTTCACAAAGGTTCCGGAGATGATTCTTGTGTTGGTGAGAATGGCGCTTCTTAGTCATCTTTCTCCAATGCTTTGAATGATTTGCAGGAGGCACAGGGTAGTTGATTCACTGATACAAGCTCTCTGAATTATCAGTTAAAAGTCACAGCTTACAGCAACTGTTGAAGGAAAGATGAACTGTTTTTCTTCAGAAACCAAAGAACTACGGATGCTGTGAATCAGGAACAAAAACAGAAGTTGCTGAAAAAGCTCAGCAGGTCTGGCAGCATCTGTGAAGGATAAAAACAGTTAACGTTTCGGGTCCAGTGACCCTTCCTCAGAACTGGGAGAACTGTACTGAGGAAGGGTCACCGGAAACGAAACATTAACTCTGTTTTTTCCTTCACAGATGCTGCCAGACCTGCTGAGCTTTTCCAACAACTTTGTTTTTGTTCCTGTTTTTCTTCAGGCTTAGTGATTTTTTTACTTCAGAGAATATAGAGAAGTCCTAAGCTGGTGATGGTCTAAAGGCTTCTCTTTAATACCTCCTTGACATCCCCAAGATGTGCAGCTACCCGAAAACTCTTGATTATTGATAGGTAGAAAACCTTTATCCTGAAAATAAAAAAATTGCGGGAAATCACAGCGCGTCCGGCAGCATCCGTGGAGAGAAAGCAAGTTAACATTTTGAGTCTAGATGACTGTTCTTCAGACCTTTGTCAATGGGAACAGGTAACTAGTCCATAAACCAGTCTGATACTTGTTGCCATCTAAAGCTCTGTTCACAAATAACTCTTGTCTCCAGTTAATCTGCAACTGCTGCTATAACCCCCATATCTATGCAAACAATGTTCAGAATGAGAATCAAGATACTTGCTTTCAAACCATGCAACTATCCCTGGTTTTAAAACAATTCTTTTTTAATTTCAATCCACAATTTTAAAAAGCATAGAAATATACGGACACGCTCTTTATAACATTTAAACTTCATATCAAGTGGAATATTAAGTAGAGGTTTATTTAATACAGATATTCCCTTAATGTGCAGGGGTGTGGTATCCATTTGTCTACTCGTAATAATTATTCCTTTCTTTATATGTCATTTTGGGATTGGAGCCTTGACAGTCATTTCCAATAAAAACCTAAATTTCATTTATATCTAATAGTTGTCAAAGTGGGAAATATTCAATACCAATATAATATTGGCTCATTATGTGGAGTTAGAATACAATTGGAGTATAGGGACAAGTGTCCATTTGTATAAATGTTAGATTGTTTTAAATTAATCAAAGATTGAATTCAGTGCAAAATATAACCAAAATCATTACTTTCCAAGTGGTTTAATAAAATTGAAGCGCACAGCAGATTGTTCAGTCTCTAAAAGAAAAGAATAATTTATACACTTATCATGGATTGATTTTGAATTTGTGGTGTTGATATATTTGCTAAACTTTAAGTTTAAACTAATTTTATGATTGGTCATGAAGGTAATTAGGCCACTAGTTACCTCTTCATTTATATATTGTCTTTGAAGTCAGAATGTTTGAGTGCTTTACAAAGAGTTGCTTCTAAAATACAAATACAGTAACTACATAAGCTAATATATACCAAAAAATAAAGGATCTGGTGACAGTAGGGGTAACCTTGGAGTACTTGAGGGAATTTTATTACATATGGTACGTGCATTCTGTGTATATGAAAATGTGCCTCATTCATGACTTCTGACTAAGTTATAATTGGAATGACATTTATTTTAAAATAAGCCATAATTTTCCACAATTTCATTTTGCAAAGCAGTTAAATTGTAAATTAGTTTGTTTTTAATGTGGATAATTTCCAAATATTTTCCTGTTTCTGCAAAAACAAAGTATTGCGTGCGCATGGAAATCTGAATTAAAACTAGAAAATGCTGGAAGTGCTCAGGTCTGGCAGCATATGGGGAGAAATACTTGATGTTTCAAGCTGATGACCTCTCATCAAAACTATTCTGAAAGATTATTGTCTGTCCTAGATGTGAAACAGCATGTGCAGTGTACAATTGGCAGGTGAAGAAATCCCACAAGCAACAAAATCAGGCCTAGACAACAAGGTGCAGAGCTGGATGAACACAGCAGGCCAAGCAGCACCATAGGAGCAGAAAGGCTGATGTTTCGGGCCTAGACCCTTCATCAGAAATGGGCCCGTTTCGGGCCTAGACCCTTCATCAGAAATGGGCCCATTTCTGATGAAGAGTCTAGGCCCGAAACGTCAGCCTTTCTGCTCCTATGATGCTGCTTGGCCTGCTGTGTTCATCCAGCTCTGCACCTTGTGGTCTCGGATTCTCCAGCATCTGCAGTTCCTACTATCTCAAAATCAGGCCTAAGCTCTGCAGCACTGCCACATACAATTATGAATGGTCATAGACAATTAAATGACCAGCAGGAGGTGGAGGCTCCTTCCAAGTCCCCATCCTCAAAGATGAAGCATTTGCATCCATCATCAGCCAGGTTTTGAGCATTTGATCCATCTCAACCCCCCTTGGGGTCCACAATGTCCATATACCAGTCTTCAGCCAATTCAGTTCACTCTATATGATTTCCAGAAAGCGTTGAAGGCACTGGGTACTGTAAAGGCTATAGGCCTTGACATTATTGTGGCAATAGTAATGAGGATGTGTGCTCCAGAACTAGCTGCATTCTTATTCAAGCTGTTCCAATGTAATTGCAACACTCATCTGCTTTGCAATGTGGAATGTCGTCTATGGAACACTGAAAGGGAAGGCTGGTGATAATGTGCTGCTGGAGGCATTGTGCTGGTCAAAACGGCAGAAGATGATCCATTGAATCTGATGTCTGTCTGGTAGGATGGAAGTTGAGAATAAGGAAAAACCATACCATGATTCTGGGAGGGAAAAGTAGAGTTGCAAACAAATGAATGGGCATGCTGAGTGAGAATCCTAGATTCAAGGGAAAATTGAGACATGCTGGTAGCACTGGTGTGGAAGGTTGGTGTCGTCAGAACAGATGTGGTAGAGTCAGAGAAATGACCGGATGGCATGGAGTCTATGGAGGAAGCAGCATGTGAGGAGGTGCAGTCAATGTAGCTGTAGGAGTCTGGGTTTGTAGTGGACATTAGCTGATAGCTCCATCTCCAGGAATGGAGACAGAGAATTTGAGGAAGGGGAGAGTTCAAAATCAATTGGTGAATGTATGGGAAGGGTGGAACATTTACCTCCACAGATGTTGCCATGCCCAAGTTTCTTCAGTTTCCTTTTGTATTATTTCAGGTTCTTAACTTTTAATGATAACCCTTGCGTCCGTCTTTGTTTTTGATCTGGTTTGGTTTCTTCCTTTAACCCTTCATGTTGCATTTAGATGGGTTTTTAAATGCAATTCACACCTCATTTCAACAGAATCTTTGTTTATTCAAACTATCCATTGCCACGATGACTCAAAATGAAGCTTTTTGTTCAATCTCCCCTTCCCTCCTCCAACTGCATGGCTTCATCTCCTGGTGTCTTTTATTGGCTTAACTCTTACTGTACTTCTGTCTTAGGTGAGTTTAGATGCAAGGCCATTGACCAGGAACGTTCACTCAATTTCATTGCACGGATCCTGCCTAACATGCTGAGTAGTTCCAGCATGTTTTGATCTTATTTCAGATGTCCAGCAACTGCAATATTTTGCTTTTGTAAAATTAGGAATATTTAAAAAATGGGTTATTGTAACACACAAGTACTGTGCAGTGTCAATAATATTTTACTGGAAGGGAAAAAGGATGGACATTTCTCTCCGTGAAAGATGTAAAAGTTTCACGGAAGGCCAGGCTGATTTGGATGTAGGTAGGGCTGGATGTTGCTGATGTAAGCTGTCATTTGATGGATGTTTTGGGAAACTTGCCCTGTTTGCTGTAAAAGGGAAATGCTAAGTGCTGGAAGAAGAAGCATATATATAGCTGTGTTAAGAATAGACAAGGTAATGGATTTAGGGCTTATAGAAATCAACTATAAATCCAGTATTATCATTTAAAGACGATGCCACAAACATTAGCTAATTAATTTTTTTTAAACCGCTTTTCCTTGTCCTCCTCCATTCTAATATGGGTATTCTTATGTTTTTACTTCTCTATCATCTACTCCTATAGTTTCTCCTTGAAAAAGGCAGTAGCTGTTTTTGTAACACTGTTCTACCATGTAGGGAGTCAGTTTTGTCTATGGGTTTTATGAAACTTCTGTTTCTGATACCATCGTGAAAGCAGTTGTTATATAGTGTAGCTGAGAGAGTATAACATCACATGTACGACAGGGGAGCTTGAACCTATGACCTCTATAGTGAGAGAGAGTCCAAAACTGCATAGCCTGTAGGCTATATTATAAATTATTAAGCTTCAATGTGTGGATGAAACTTGAACATTTTTCCCCTTGTCTCTACAGAGCTTTCCATCAGATGAAGGATGGCCTTTTGCAAAGTACCTTGGAGCCTGTGGGAGAATGGTGGCTGTAAATTATGTAGGAAATGAACTTTGGAATTTCTATAATGCACCCTGGGAAAAACGAGTAGACTTGGCCTGGCAGTTGCTGGAAATCGCTGAACAACTCACAAACAATGATTTTGAATTTGCGCTGTATCTCCTTGACGTCAGCTTTGACAACTTTGCTGTTGGACCGCGAGATGGAAAGGTCATAGTGATTGATGCTGAAAACATCATTGTGGCAGACAAAAGATTAATCAAACAAAGTAAGTCTTTTGTTTACGTCTTCATTGAAAAAGATTCATTGCTAGCCTTTTCTGATTTCTTGTAAGTTGGCTGATACAATTGTTTTGAGTTAGTTGAAGCTGGTGGAACATTTGTCATGATGGTTCACATTACGTGTGGCTATAGAATCATAGAGTTCTAATCGTTTGCTGCATAGTGAGTCATTCAAGTGTTTATTGTTGGATTTTAAACAAAAGCCTATATGAAAGGTTTTGTTAGTACGCTGACGTCAATATACCAATGAAATATAGAAATTTTGGTTAATGCAGGATGACTGGAGCTGCTGTGGAATAATTACTATAAATGAAATTGTGGATGTATGATTACATTGATTCTTTAATTATAGGTTTGCACTAATTTCACCTTGATGCCACAGACAATGTATTTTTCAGAAACAAAAACACTCCTATGTCACAGACTCAACGTATCTCAGTTAGGTCAATGAAATTGAATTTGTAATTGTGTAATATGTCTAAAAAACGAATTGACTAGTTTCTGTAAACTTCTTGAATTGTGTCATGAGCTGCCTTTGTGTTGTACTCCAATCGAGTTGTTCCACAATTATTTATGCTTACATAGCTTTGCAAGCCCCATGGCTAATTCTCAGTCATTTTGAGGCTGAGATGCAAATTCTATGCAATTTTGCTGCCCTAACCTAAGGAAGGGAATTCAACAAGGATTCATTAGACTGATTCCAGGGATGAGAGGTTTCGTTATTGAGATGAGTTTGAGCTGACCAAATATATATTCCTTTGTTTCATTGCAGTATGCAGAATTCATAAGTTTCCTGATCAGGTAGGTGCTCGGCATGCATTTTCCCTGGCTGAGGAATGTGGAATATGAGGCCACAGTTTCCAAATAAGGCACCAGTTATTTTGGACTGAGATGAGAAGTTTATTCACTCAATCTTTGCAACCACAGCAGCCGTTAAATCTGAGCATCTTTGGAATTCTCCACCTAAGACAGCTGTGGATGCTCAGTCTGTCAGTATATTCAAGACAGGTTAATGCGTTTTTAAGTGCAGTGGGAATTGAGGAATATGGAGCTAGTTTAGCTGGATCACTCATGGTCTTAAGTGACACAGCAGGCTCAAATGGCTTACTCCATGTCTTATTTCATACTTTCTTATATTAAATACAATGCCTTATGCGTTGCAATGTTTTGGGGCCTCCTGAAAATTGTGTAATCTCCTTTGAGAGTAGAGAGACAAAATCCAAGTCAATTAGGAACGAATATAGAAAGTGTCTCTTGAAACTTTTCAAGTGATCAATGCTATGATCATGATTAATGTTGCGTATGATTTTTGCCCTAGCCAGAAGAACTTCAGCTGTCACTTTAGAGGAGTTGGAATCAAAAACGTTGCAAATAGTTTAAAAAAACTACAAATGAACGAATGTCATCCATTTGTCTCTAGAGATGATACACTCTGACGACAGTCTATGTCGCTTCTTGACTGGATATTGTCTATTATGGCTGTAAAGGTTGCTTTGTGAGTAGTAGTCCCTTCCAGAGGTGGCACAGATGAATGGAGTTGGCCTGTGTTTCTGATTGTTGACTGATTGTTTCTTCCCTTCTGGTGGGCGCTGTTTTCTACTGGTCATTTCTTTCTTCCCCTGCTTTATCCATAATCGCATGACCCAGCCAACTGAATCATGCTGACTTAAAAGCAAACGTGTTGGGATTCCTTGCATGGTAGTATGTTTTATTTTTGGCACTCTGTTGCTAGGAAATGCCAAAATTCATCCAAGGCAGTAGGATGGAAGATGTTGAGCCATTTTTCTTGTCTTGCAATAGCTATCCATGCTTCACTACCATATAGGAGGGTGCTCAAAATACAGTCTTGGCACACACAGGATTTTGTGATTTTTGGTTTGTTTTCTATTTAGCATGACAGCTGCAACCTTGGAAATCCTGGTGTTGATATCGGCATCAAGAGATCGTTACTGGTGATTGTTGACCAAAATATGTTGAAGGATCTCAGTGACTTCAGTAATTACAGACCAGTTTCTTTATTTATTATTGGAGTGATCTTTGCTTGCACTGACTTGACAAAATTGAAGACCCTCATTTCATGCCAACCCTGAGTCTCAGTGGAGCTTTAGAGTTGGCATGTCTCCAATTGGCGTGATTTTCTCATTTTGGTAATTACAGCAGAAGTGTTTTGCACAGCACAGATCACTCTACATTACCTTCATCAAGGCTCTGTTCTCTGGTCGTTAAAGCAATTTTACACTTTTGATGATACCACCTGTGTACCAGAGCTGATGTGTTCTGTTTACCTTGGCAAGATTGCATGCCAAGACCAAATTGTAAAATGTCCTGCTCTGTGAGTTGCTGATTGCTAATTATGCTGTGGTGGATCCCATACTTGGAGTAGCCAGTTGGTCAGTTAACCTGGGCCTGCAAGGAGTTTGGAGTGAGAGGTCAGTTGATCAGAAGACCACTGTTATGGGGCAGAATCAAAAAGTACAGATATTGACAAATTTAAAGCAGCATTTCTTTCAAAGGATGCTGATCAACAAATCTAAAATATTAGACAAAATATGCAAATAGACAAAATGACAGAATAACAGCAAATAAGAATCAGTGGCTGACTGTAATAATAGGCAGCATAATTCATGAAAGCTATTGGCTTGGAATGACCGTTAAAATAACTTGAGTTTCAGTAGATTCAAACTCAACAACATCAACCAATATGGGCCACTAACCTCCAATGTAATTAGAATGCTGAAATATACAATTAGTTTACCATACACATCTTTTGAAGTTAGTTAGTGCACAGTAGACCAATTGGTTTACATTTTGAAAACTTGCTCTGGTTATTGAGACATGTAGGCAGTTGACAAGTTAACAGAAGAGTCAAGCAGTTGAGCCCTAAAATTAGAGATGAGTTCTCTGAACAAAAATATTAGATTTTGCAGCTTTGAACAGTACTTGGATTGCCTCTGTTCAAGAAGGCAACTATTCACCAACTTCTCAAGGGCTACTATGGACAGGCAATAAATGCTGGCTAGCCAGTGACTCCCACATGTGAATTTAAAAAAAGCTAACATTTCATATTCACTTTTAATTCTTTCCCACTCAACTTGCCTGCCCCAAGAGAACAAAATTGAAGGTATAATTTTATACATGATTACCGTTCGCCTTTACGTTGGGAAACTTTATAGCGACTCAATACTTCCTTCAGCTGTATCAGAATTGATTGTGGTGTTGTGCAGCTTCATGCACATAGATAAATGCTTGCATTAACCTAATGAAGTGCTGGATTCTAGTAAAGTAGAACAATTAGATTAGCCAGTTTAAACGAATACATCTTGATACTATACCGTGAGGTGATATACAGTGTACTCTGAATTTATAAGTTTATAAATTGAGTTGTCTAATACGTAATTTTTTTTAAGACTGAGCTTGCATTATTTATTCTACTTAATTTGAATGGCTGTACCATCGAATTTTGAAGTGAAAAAAGTTGTTTGAAACGGAAACATGGATACAGGTGCATCTAAATTGCATGTGTATCTAGAAATAATTTGATTTATTTTCAGGATGCAATGATGTGTAAAGAAAAATCACTGGATCTCTGGTTGAAATAAACAAGCTATAAAGGAAAAGGAGAGGCAACAGTTTAATGGCATTATTGCTGGACTATTAATCCAGAGACCCAGGTATTATTCTGGAGACCCAGGTTTGAATCCTGCTGTGGATGGTGGAATTTCAAGCTGATTAAAATCTGGTATTAATGGTTTGATTCATGGTCATCATTAATTGTCAATTGTCATAAAAACCCATCTGGCTCATGGAAACTGCCGTCCTTACCTGGTCTGGCCTACTTATGACTCCAGACCCGCAGCAATGTGGTTAACTCTGAACTGCCCTCTTGGGCAATAACTGATGCTAGACAGCAACGCTCTCATCCTGTGAGGATAAAAAATGTGAATTCATACATTTCTTAGCAAATCATATCTGAATTATGAAGGAATTCACTGGAGCTGAATCACAAGAATATAAACCTAACTGAGTCAAAATCTGAATTTGTTGTAAAACAATTCACTCATTCATTCCTTTTTTCCTTCAGGATAATTGATATATAATAAATTAATATACAATTGAAGTTAATGTTATATAACACTCCCAACAACTAGGAAATAAAAGGTATGAAACTTTGGCGGCCAAATACTTTTTTTTAAAAAACAAGGCATAATGGAATGTAGGGAAAAAAGAGTAACCCAATTAGGATTCTTTGCAGTAGTCAGAAACTCCTGGTTCACTTGTATACTTGAAAAGGCTTGCACCAAGCAGAAAATTCCTATATTATTCATGGCTGTATTAAATATTTAATCCTCTGTTGAAATCATGCCTCATATCACCGGTTGCAGAAGGATGGACACAAAGAAGTTTACAGAACAATAGTGTTGACTTGAAAATCAAGTATAGCCATCTCAAAACAAACTCTCCTCATTTTTTTGTAATAGAATTTTTATAAACTTAAGTCCGGTCAGCAATCACTTTCAATATTTGACTTTTTTTTTCTTCAGGAACAAGCTCTGAAGGTAGCCAAAATGCAGAATGTGCTCTGAATGGGGGAGCTTCATTGTCTACTAAAAGTGGCTTTTTGGCCCTACTACTGATGAAGCTGTTAATGCCTGAAGGGCATTTCTTCCAAACTGGACCTGCAGGGAAGCAAGAAGGGTGTGAAACCTATTTTTCTATCTAGCTCTTGCATATGTTCATGACACTGTTCAAAGATTCTTCGTGTAGAAGTTGTGTCTTCACACCCAGGGCTCCTTTTGCTTTATGCAACACAACAACCTTACTAATTGAATAGGTTCAATGTAAAGTGTAATAATTCAAAACTAGGCATGCATGAGGTGCCATGGATCGTCAGTGACAGCAGGATTACATACTACCAAAATCTGTAACCCTAGCATATCCCTCACTGTACACTGTACTATTATCAACAAGACCGGAAACAGAATTTGAA